TGTCCTTTGACACTGTATCCACTTAGATTTCCATAAGCAGGGAAGTCATTTATCGTACAAAAAAGCAAAGCTTGCAATTTAAAGTATTCATTACGATATGCATCAAATACCTCAACACCCTCTTCCCAAAGAAGTTTTAAGTCTTCAATCAAAGGCCGTAAATAAACATCAATGTCATTTCCTGGTTGTTTGGGGCCAGAAATCATCATCGACAACATTTACAAACTTGCGTTTCATGCACAATCGAGGAGACAAGTTGTAAATTACTAACAAAAGAGGCCATGAACTATGTATACTACTTAAATTGCCATAAGGATTCATCCCATCTGTAGCAAGTGCTAGTCTAAGGTTTCTCCCCTCTTGACCAAATTCTGGAAATATGTCATCAATTTTTTTCAATTGCGAGAGAATCAGCTGGATGTCGTATCTTCCCATCACAGTGTCTTTCATCTACATGCCACGTTAAGCTCTTTGCATCTTTGGCATTAGCAAATAACCGCTTAAACCTTGGAATTATTGGAAGATACCACACTACTTTGACAGGGGTTCCTGATGAAATTGTCTTATCACAATTATCTTCTCCATCCTTGACTTTAAACCGTGATGTACCACAAATAGGACAATTATGCAAACTTCCAAACTCCTTCCTGTACAGGATGCAATCATTACGGCATGCATGTATCTTCTTATACTCCATACCCATCGGACAGATTACTTTCTTTGCTTCATAAGTACGGCTTGGAAGTGTATTCCCTTCTGGAAGCATTTCCATTAGTAATTGTAGCAACTCTGTAAAACTTTTATCCGTCCACCCATTTTTGGCCTTTAAGTTAAATAATTTTAACATTGCTGACAACCGTGTGAACTTAGAACATCCTATATACAGAGGCTTCTTACTATCTTCGCATAGTTCTTCGAATACATATCCATTTTCAAATGGCTCTTCACCGATATCACGTATCAAATCCTCTAGTCGATCATTGGTTTCTTTCTGGATTTCAGTTGTCTCTGAAGCCATTGGGAAATCTACTACTTCCCCATGCCAAATCCACTTAGTGTAACTCTTGCAAAATCCATCACAAAGGAGATGCTCTCTTATATCCTTCACACTTAGTTGTCTTAAATTTAAGCACTTCACACAAGGACAATAAAAGAGACCTCTATTGTTACCCACATTTCTCTGTGCAAACTCTAAGAACTCTTCAACCCCTAATTCATATTCTTCTTCTATACGTTTGGCATTTATCCAACTCCGATCCATATCTATAACTACATGACGTCTTTGCTTAGTGTGAAAATGGAATTACCTCTATTCAGAGGCAACAAACTTAAACAACTCAAACTATAATCCAAACTGAAATAGTACTGGAACAACAGTAAAACTCCAGGAACAAAACAAACAACACAAAGAACAAACCTAAATCAACAACATAAGAAACAAACCCTACTGAAAAACAAGAGAACCAAATATAATCAATACCCCAAAGCCCTACACCCCAGCGTGGAAACCCATAGCCTTAACTCTTCCGCTAAGAGACTCGGACCAGAGCGACATCAACCAACCCAACAGGGCTTGGATAACACCAATCTCAACCCCACGAGAATAACCAAGTGAAAATCACATATTCAAGTCAAACTAAACGGAAATAATAATACAAAACCCAGAATAAACATGTCTACATACATTAAACCCAGGAAGAATCAGTCCACGACCAAACAAAACAATCCAGAATCAAGGAAAATGCATAAAGGTAATTGACAAAACAAGGATGAGAAGCCAATAGGATAGACCCACGGACCTGGTTCGCGACGAGATCGAAGGTGCGCAGGTGCAATGAGGAGGAGCTCCTAGAGGGTTTCAGAGAGGTGAAGACGAGGGTGGCGCGTCGCAGTTCTTGGTGCGCGTCGCAGTTCCTGGTGCGCGTCGCAGTTCTTGGTGCACGGCAAGGGTGGTTTTCGCTTGGGGATTCGATTGGGGGAAGGAGATGGGAGAGACAGTGGTTTTCGCTACTGCGATAGGGGCAAGGAGACGATGGTTTTCGCTACTGCGAGAATGAATTTGGTAATGGCTAGGAGCAAGGGAAGAATTCCAGAGGGAGTCGAGTCTGTAATTGGGTCTGGGAGTCGAGTCTGTAAGGGCAAGAGTGGAGTCTAGGGCTTTACTGTCTAAAATGTTTATTATAATTTTTTTTTAAGACTTTCCACATCGGTTCATGGAGGAACCGATGTAGAAAGTAAAATGGTAAACCAGATGACCGATCAGAATGACATTATGACCGATCAGAACCGGATGATCGATCAGAATAAGATTATGACCGATCATAATTGTTTTTCCACATCGGTTCATGGGGGAACCGATGTAGAAAGTGCAGGTCAACACTCGCTCAAGCGACAATAAGATCGCTCGAGCGACGCGACCTGCACAAAATTGGCCTTCTCGGGTGGTTTTTCGCTTGAGCGACACTGGTCTCGCTCGAGCGACGCCACCTGCACAAAATTGGCCTTCTCGGGTGGTTTTTCGCTTGAGCGACACTGTCTCGCTCGAGCGACGCCACCTTCACAAACCTTCTCGGGTGGTTTTTCGCTTGAGCGACACTGTCTCGCTCGAGCGACTCCACCTGCACAAAATTGGCCTTCTCGGGTGGTTTTTCGCTTGAGCGACACTGTCTCGCTCGAGCGACATCCACATTTTTTGGTTATGATCGATCAGAATGAGTTTATGACCGATCAGAATTATTTTAAATCAGTTGCGAAAGCACTTTCCACATCGGTTCATGATGGAACCGATGTAGAAAGTACTTTCTACATCGGTTCCCATCTGAACCGATGTGGAAAGGCTTTAAAAAAATTTCTACATCGGTTCTTTAACAACCGATGTAAAAAGTCCGATGTTAAAAGTGTTTTTTGTACTAGTGTTATTTTATCTTTAATTGATATAAGATTTCATCACACTTCCTCGTCTTGAGAAGAATTTTTCATCCTATCCCATTACATTCGAGGAGGATTTTCATATCTCAATATCTCTAGAGTTGACTTTAATACCAACTTGAAAAATATAAAAATATATCCGTTCTTTGATATGAAATAGAATATGTATAACTTGTTTATAAGATACAAAATTGTGCCTAATTAAGTTGTTAGAAAACTATAATATTTTATAATTATACTAATGCTTATTAAATAAGAGATAATTTGTATAATAATATTTTATAAAGACAATAAGAAGAAAAGTAAATCTTAACACAATTGTGTGAAAAAAATAAAAAATTGTATTTATTATTATTATTATTATTATTATTATTATTATAAGAAAGAAAAATATAATAATTATTTTTTAAAATTTTAAAAAATAATTTTATTTAATTATATTTGAATTATAAAATGTGTTGTGTTATTTATAAAATTTCACTAGTATAAGGAAGACTTTCTATGATAGCTATTTTAAACTTTTTATGTTGGTTCTACAATCAACATAGATTCAGGCAACATAGAAAATATAATTTTGTATGTTGGTTGTTAAATAATCGACAAAGTAAGTACTTACTATATGTTCTTAACATAATTATTATAAAAAGTCTTGTGTTAATTTTTTTTATATAGTCATGTTTCTCACAAACATTTTATCAAACAATTTCAATTTAATGATTTTTGAAAATTAAGTACAAACATTATTCACATACAAAAAATAATTAAATATAAAATATAGATATATTTACTTAAGTTAGATGAAAAATCATTCATAAAAGAAAAAAAAACATAATAACAATTTTAGCCTAACATATATTAAAACACTCCATTAAACAAAATCATGGAATACAAACTAATACAGAAAAATAAGACAATGCTTTCATATTTTACCTTCATTGTAAATTAGGAAGAAGTAAGATTGTAAAAAATGGTGGAGCAAGCATGAGAAAAACAAAAGTAAATGAATGTGATGGGGAGATAACGAAGCAAAAGAAAGAAGAAGCTAAGTTCTTTTACTTGCAACGAAAAAAGATGGAGAATGAGAAGACGAAGAGGATAAAACAGATATGAAAAATTTAAATATAAAAACTTTCAACGTCTATTCAATTTTAAATTGTCGAAGTAATAGAAAGTGTCTTATATTCAAAATTGACAAAACCACTTCCTATATTGATTTACTATTAAACTGTCATAAAACAATTTAAAATTTAACAATCATAACAAATACTTATTACGACGATTTAAAATTAAATCGACATAAAAAATATTAAAATTTTCAAATTTCAAAATAACTTATTATAACTGCTCAAAATTAAATTTAAACCTACATAAAATGTACTATAACGATTCAATTTTAAATTATAAATTTATTAAGAATCATAGGGTGAAATAAATTTTAATTAAGTTATAATAAATTTATTATAACGATTTAAAATTGAACCGTAAAAAAAATAATTTAATTATGAATTTATTATTGTCTAACTTATTACGAGGTGAAATAAATCTTTCTTAAAATAAGTTATCATAAAACATTCTTTTTAATAATGTTCTTTACTATCATCTATTTTTTTAACAAATAATGTTACTATAAAGATTTTATTTGTGCTTAACTATGTTATAATATTTTTTATATTATTTATTTTCTTAAGTAATAAGTTGTTATTGATACTGAACTATTTAATATTTTATAGCATTGATATTTAATTATTTTTTCTTATTTTATATCATTTATATAATACACATATTAAATAGTGATATTTTGATACCATTATTTATATATTTAATTTACAATTCATTATAATATAATAATAATAATAATAATAATAATAATAATAATAATAATAATAAATTTAAAAGGTTATATTAATATTATATTATTAAAATTGAGTTGTTTAATGAATGTTTGTTAGGCCAAAGTATAACATCATTTTCCTTAAAATATTAAAAATAGAAAGCATATTGTACCAATATTAATGAGTCTATTGACTTTTAGGGAAATGCACTAAGATCGCAGAAGTGCAACGAAAATACACATGTTCAAAGGTGAAAAGGAAGTAAAACACTGAAAAATAAAACCATCTCCAACAGAAAATAAACAACACACAAGTTACTTAAACTATGTGATCATTATATAAATCACTTATTAAATTTCAAACATAGCAAGCAGCAAATTACTGGAACCCAAAATCCAAATCCAAGCTAGAATGTTGGTTGAATGTGGTGCAGAAAGGAATGGGATGTGAATTGGTGGGAGCAATGCGGATTGGATATTAGGAAGAGAGCGCAAAGATGGCTATGGTAGAGATGAAACGATTCCAGGTACAGTTGGGACTCCAGGTAGAGGTGGCAAAGGTGGTAATGTCACTGGAGGCACAGGTACAGTTGGGATTCCAGGTAGAGGTGGCAAAGGTGGTAATGTCACTGGAGGCACAGGTACAGTTGGGACTCCAGGTAGAGGTGGCAAAGGTGGTAATGTCACTGGAGGCACAGGTACAGTTGGGACTCCAGGTAGAGGTGGCAAAGGTGGTAATGTCACTGGAGGCACAGGTACAGTTGGGACTCCAGGTAGAGGTGGCAAAGGTGGTAATGTCACTGGAGGCACAGGTACAGTTGGGACTCCAGGTAGAGGTGGCAAAGGTGGTAATGTCACTGGAGGCACAGGTACAGTTGGGACTCCAGGTAGAGGTGGCAAAGGTGGTAATGTCACTGGAGGCACAGGTACAGTTGGGACTCCAGGTAGAGGTGGCAAAGGTGGTAATGTCACTGGAGGCACAGGTACAGTTGGGACTCCAGGTAGAGGTGGCAAAGGTGGTACTGTCACTGGAGGCACAGGTACAGTTGGGACTCCAGGTAGAGGTGGCAAAGGTGGTACTGTCACTGGAGGCACAGGTACAGTTGGGACTCCAGGTAGAGGTGGCAAAGGTGGACGTGGAGGTCGGAATATGGTTGGAGGAAGTGGAGGAGGTGGAGGAGGTTTTTTATTCAAGAGATGTCGTGTTGCTAATGTCATGTCCATGCTTGAAAAGGAAACAGCGATCATAAAAGCAAAAAAGAAGAAACAGTGAGAGGCCATGGCTGGTTGAATTTCAATTAGGTGTAGATATCCTGAAGTGAAGTGCGAATGTGCATATATTCGAAACACTTAGTGGCTTGCGTTTTATAGACAATGGCCAAGACCAGTGGTTTCTACGGATTTAGGTGACTACTATGTTGTTGGCATTGGCAATGGTTGATTAGTACCAACAATAGATATTCAGAAGAAGAATATTCTTTTCGATAATTCAACACAATAATTATTACTTATTATTATGGTTTACTATACCATTGCAAGTGGTGGCAGGGAACTCATCCTAAGTTTAAATGATCATCAACTAATTAATTATTCCAACATTAATTTTGATCCTACTTCTTCCAAGTGACATGAGTTATACTGTGCCAAATTTGTTCGACCTAAATTTATATTCTTAATTTTTTTTATAAACCACTTGGTGAATAAGTTCAAATGAATGCTATTTATTTTTATAATTATAAAAGGAAACAATAAACCACAAACGACAAAAGGCATGGCAAACGGGTTTTGACTGCCAGATCTTATTCTTGATTTTTTTTTAATCATTTTTTTAGGTTCTTTATTTTAATCGGACTTACAAATTAAGTCATCCTCCTAGGAATGGCGGCGAGCACGGGTTTTGCCTCCCGATCCCCGCCCCCAAATTTTATGGTCGGATTAGAAATTAAATTTTTATCTCCGTCTTCGCTCGATTTTGAGTTCCCGTCCCGTTCCGTACTCGATTTATATTATTTTTAAAAAGATAATTATAATTATAATAAATTAATTTTACTATTTATTTTTTATATATAAATAAATATTTATAATTTATAATTATTAATAATTAAATATACATTTTAATTTATTATATTTATATTAAAATATGTATGTAAAAGAAATATTTAATCATTTTTTATTTATAATATTATTATTATAACATTGTATTCAAATATTTAAATATTTATAACATTATTATTATAATATTATATTCAAACATTTGATTATATATATAAGTTAATTCATTTTTAAGTTGTCATCTAAAAATATGAAATATATAGTTTATAAGGAAATATTTAATAACTTAATTCTTATTCAATTAGTTCGAAGTAATAAAAATTTAAATTATCAATTCCTTTAATTCTTTAAAATACAATTATTTTATTAAGATAAAATTTGATATATGATAAATAAGAATAATAAGATAAAAAAATATGACATAATAAAACCTAATAAATATAAATTATAAATAAAATAATATTAGTTACTACTAAGATTTATGTAAAATATTTAGAAAAAGATAAAGAATAAAAAAAATTAACTTTGTGTTCATCAAATTGGTTGAAAAGATTAAAAAAAAAACAAATTCATGGGAGAGATTAAAGAAATGTGAAAAACTGAAAGGTAAGAGAAAGAATAATATAATAAATTAATTGATATAAAAGATTAAAAAAGATAAAAAAATTAAAAAGTGGGTAGAAGAAAAAAATTGGTGGAATATAAAAAAATGACCTTATATGTAATAGAATAGAAAAGGAAATACTTTTAAAATATTAATATTTTAAAATTTAAATTTAAATATAAAGTCGGGCGGGACGGGGACGGGGCGGGGTGGGGATTGCATTACCCATTCCCGCCCCGCCACCGACTTTTAGAACGGGGAAAACCCGAACCTGCCCCCACCCCGGTTAACTCGGGTTTTCCCGTCAAACTCGGGCGGGACGGGTCGGTCCCCACAGGGACGGGTTTAATTGTCATCCCTACTTCCTCATTATTTTAGATTATAAATTAACTCTTCATCTAATTATTTTTTTCGAGATTCTCTCATCCCGATTCATCTCCGTTCTATATTATTTCTAAAAAAATTATTATACTTATAATAAATTAATTTTAATATCTTTTATATAAAAATAAATATTTATAATTTTATAATTATTAATTATTAATAATTAAGTATATATTATAATTTATTATATTTATATTAATATAAAAAATATTTAATTTTTTTATACACTTACAATAATATTATTATTATTATATTCAAAATTTTGATTACATATATAATTTAATTATTTTTTAAGTTGTTATTGTAAAATATTTATAAATATAAAATATTAAGTTTATAAGAAAATATTTGATAAGTTAATTATTATTTAATTAGTTCAAAGTAATAAAAGTTTTAATTATCAATTTTTTTAACCCTTCAAAATATAATTATTTTATTAAGATAAATTTTGATATATGATAAATAGGAATAATAATATCTAAAAATATGATGTAATAAAATTTAGAAAAGATAAATTAGAAATAAAATAAGATTAGTTAGTGTTAAGATTGACATAAAATATTAAAAAAAAAAATTAACGTTGTGATTATCAAATTGATCGAAGAGACTTGAAAAACCAAATTGGTTGCAAAGATTAATGAAATGTGAAAGTTAAAAGAGTAATGTAATGAATTGATTAATATAAGAGATTGAAAAAAATAAAAGAGTGAAAAGTGATAGAAGAAAAGTAAAAAATGATAAAATAAAAAAAGAACTTTATATATAATAGGAGAAAAACAAAAAAAATATAATTTAAAAATATTAATATTTTAATATTTAAATTTAAGTATAAAGTCGAGATAAGGATAAGATCGGAATACATATTACATTATTTATTATTGCTTCTGTTTTTAACTTTTTAAAATGAAAAAAATCCGAAATTATCCTTCTCAATCAAATCGAATTTTTTCATTAAATTCTAGACGAGAAGAGATTCTCTCATGTATGAGTTAATTGTCATCCTTAAGTAAGAAATTAGAATTCGTAAATTAATATATGATAATTGAAACAACAAACAAAGATTTAATGTTATCGGAGAAAACTGTGTTAAGGTATAAGCGATGGCGGATCTTGACCATTGATCTTGGGGGCTAAATAATATATTATTAATAAATAATAAATAAATATAAAAGGAAGAAATAAGATGAAAGGGTAAAAGGATAAAATTGTAGATATATATTTAAATATATTAAATTATCATTAAGTTTGAGGGGAACAAAGTCATAAATTATATGGAAGTTACAAAATTGAGGAGGGGCTGAGGATAAAATTGTAAATATACAAGTAAATATATTAAATGTTTATTAAGTTTGGGGGGACCAAAATCATAAATTACATGGGAGTTATAAAACTTTGGAGGGTCACGGCTCCCAAGAAAATCCTCCACTGGATATAAGCTGAGGTTTTAGTCCTAGGATCCATGTATCATTGAATTAAGATTTAAGTTTAATGCAGCGTAAAGTTATTCATCTCTTCTCAGGATCCAGTTTCCCTCTAATCACAATTGGGGAAGATGAATTCAAACATAAAATTTCTTTTTACTATTTGGCCTTATTAAGACTAATATACATATATCCCGACAAAGAAAACTTAGGAAACAAGCAAGTTTCCTTAAAGTATTTTTATTAGGTTGTTAATTAGATGATAGTAGATTCCTTAAATGCATTTGTGGTTTCCTTCATGTTAGGGAATCCAACCTTGGAAAGTTACAGTATTACATTTTTTTTATCTTTTTTTTTTTAATATACAGATTACTCCATTTAATATAATCACAGTCAAAACATTTTTTTCTTTTAAAATCTATATAATAAAAAAAATATTTACCAAGCTATTCGCTACTTTCTCGATAAATATTTAAAAAAAATATAAGATTAAATTCAAAAAAATATTATAAAAATAATATCAAGAATGAATTTTATATGATAAAATTTATATTCTTAATATATATATATATATATATATATTAATCTTGTAAAAGAAATATTAGTACATTCCATTAAAAAGTATTATCATTAAGATTATTATGTGCAATGAATATATCCTATTGAATAAATGTATTATAATATTTTAATGTCTATAACTAATACTGTATACAAATATTAATTTGTTTATGTATTTATGTAGATACACGGTTGTCAACTTTAGTTTAATATTATCTTAATATGTGTTAGTTATTATTATCGAAGTCTAAAGAGGGCGTTCCTTTCTTATAGGTTCGAGTAGGTGTAGGGAGATAGTTGAAAAGAACTCTTTGATGCTCACATAAGTATACGAGTGAGAAGGAGGTACAGTGTGAGTAAATTCAATCAAAAGAATAAGATCTTATAATTGTTTATATAAGAGTGGATTATTATAATTATCTAAGATAATAAATATATTTATCTTTATCTATTAAGCGGATATTTTGGACTAGTTTTTGAGAATCTTATAATGAGTTGGTGGTTGGACACTTTGGGTACTCGAATATTGTCGAGATGTTTGGTTAGGATTGATATATTGTCGAGATATTCGTTCTAAGTATCTTGGTGCTTAGTTGTTTCAGTACCAGTTAGGTACACAAGTCTTCTAAGCTCAGAGAGTCTTTTGGTTTGCAGGTGTAATGATTGATGAGCTTATGTTCTCTTCATTTTGTTTTTCCTTTATTAGGTTCTCGACTTACTGCTTTTTCTCTCTTTGATAACGTGTTACTGAAAAATTTCATAATCATGTATGAATTTTGAATGCTCGTGGTATTTAGGTGTATATTCCACTATATCATTTGCACATATATTATTTATCTACTCGATATTCGATCGTAAAAATAGTGTTGAGAATTCAAGTGTGAGTTTGAAGTTCCACATTTGGTAGAAATGGGAAAGTTGAGTAACTTATAAGTGAGAAAGGTCATAACCTATTGCCTTAAGGTTTTGGGTTGAGAGTGGTGTCATATTCTCTTATATGGTTGGCTCATGACCTATTTGTGAGAATTTTCCTGTTGTCCGACTCAGTTGAGTATAGTAGGTGAAAGATCATTGTGTCGAAAATCTTCCTGACAAGGGTTTCAGGCAAAGAGTCCCGTTAAGTTGAATGACGGTACAAGTGAGGTCATTACTAGATACTCATGGCTAAAAATTTTTTTCGCTTGAGGGGGAGGTATACCAATGTGAAAAGGAATCACACTTGAGGGGGAGATGTTGAGAATTCAAGTTGAGTAA